AGTTGTGAGGAGAAAAAAAAAGCGTACACAGGATGAGAGTGTGGAGTGGGAGCGGCCGGAAAAAAATTTGAGGGGGGCAAAGAAATGGTTACGTGGAGGCCAGCCCCCCCCCCTCCCAAAAGAAAATCCAAAAGATAATGGCTAGTTCTCAAGATCTTTACCCCTGAACAGGCAGTTCAATCAGGGTAGCGCTAGTCATGTGGTCAGGGAGGAGCATAAGAATTCTTCCCAGACCACATGCCAGCACTACACTTTTGTGTCACGGGTTCAATTCCCACATGACACGCTCAATGGTTATCAGGTAGTTACGCTACACTACAGCTGCAGTTACGCTACACTTTGTAGTGTAACTGTATATGTAGTGTAGTGTAGTTTAGTGTAACTGGGGATTAGTTACGCTACATGTTAGCTGCACCAACAGTTACGCTGTTGGTTAGCGGAAATTTTGTTAGCGTGGAAAAAGTTACACTACCGGTTAGTTTAGCGGCAATTATTTCAAGCTAACACTAAAAAAAATTTGAGGGAAAAAAATTCACGCTACGCTGGCAGTTAGCTCAGCGGTGTGTAGCGTGAACTAACACTACAGGATTTCCAGAAAAAAAAAAGCCACTACGCTAACATGTAGTGGCCAAATAGCGTAGTGTAGCGTAGCGGCCCACCGTTGCACATGGGCTACCAAGTGGCAACGGTGGGCCAGCTACGCTAACTGTAGCGTTAGCGTAGCGTAGTGTAGCGAAAAATCGCTACAATGTAGCGTAGCGTTAGCGCTTTTTTCATTTTCAGCGCTAACGCTACGCGCACGGGGCAAAACAATGCGCTAACGTTTAGCGTAGCGTTATCCCAATTCTCCCCATCTGCGCTAACGCTACGCGCACAGGGCGCAAAAAACCGCCCGCTACGCTGCGCTACAGCAGTTTTTAGCGGTTTTTTGGCGTTTTTTGCCGCTAAAAATGCTGTAGCGTAGCGTAACGCAGTGTAGCGGCGCCAGCGGGGCGCTAACACTACACCAAAAAATGGCTAGTGTTAGCGCCGCTACAATTTAGCGTAGCGCAGCGGCCGTAGCGGCGCGCTAACACTACACAAAAAAAAAAATTGGCGCCGCTACGCTAACGCTACATGGGCCCGTAGCGTAGTGTAGCGTAGCGGCCCACCGCTGCAAGTGGGCAGATGAAAAGGGGGGGACTCACCGCCGTTGGCAGTGGGTCCGGCATTGAATTGTTTGCTTGGGGCTGAACGAAGTGAATACGGTCAGCCCAACCAATAGAAATAAATGCTTGCCCACTTGGCAGCCACATGGGCTGCCAAGTGGGCAGATGAAAAGGGGGGGGGACTCACCGTTTTCGGCGGTGGGTCCGGCTTTGAATCGTTTGCTTGGGACTGACCGAAGTGAATACGGTCAGCCCAACCAATAGAAATAAGTGCTTGCCCACTTGGCAGCCACATGGGCTGCCAAGTGGGCAGATGAAAAGGGGGGGGGACTCACCGTCGTTGGTGGTGGGTCTGGCTTTGAATTGTTTGCTTGGGGCTTACCAAAGTGAATACAGTCAGCCCAAACAATAGAAATAAGTGCTTGCCCACTTGGCAGCCACATGGGCTGCCAAGTGGGCAGATGAAAATTAGGGGGGGGACTCACCGTCGTCGGTGGTGGGTCCGGCATTGAATTGTTCGCTTGGGGCTGACCAAAGTGAATACAGTCAGCCCAACCAATAGAAAGGAATGCTTGCCCACTTGGCAGCCACATGGCTGCCAAGTGGGCAGATGAGAAGGGGGGGGGGGACTCACCGTTGTCGGCGGTGGGTCCTGCAATTAAATGATATCAATGAGCGCTTTTCAGTGAGTCGCTTCCTATCGAGCGACCTTGTCGTTTGCGCAGGTTCAGGACCTGTTGGGGTGACAGAATATGTTGAATCAGCCCAACAGTATCAATTCAAGTCAGTGTGATAGGATCTTATGAGGGGGGGGGACTCAAAAGCGATATCGCTTTTGAGTCGCTTCGTAGCGAGCGACCTGGTCGTACGTGTGGGTTCAGGAGCTGTTGGGCTGACTGAAGTGGTGAATCAGCCCAACAGCAGCAATTCAAGTCAGTGCCACTTGGCATGTTTTGAGGGGGGGACTCACAAGCGATAT